ATCACTTAGACCTATAACTAATAGAACATCTGAACAAATAAACAATGTGCGAATAAATGCGCGAAGTTAACAAAGCAACAATTGAAAGATTACCATTGGGTAACATCACCGTTATTTTTTATTACAGCTGAAATTCTTTGGGGCATAGTGTTAACCAAGTTTTTGTCGTAGAACCTTTTTCATCTCGTGCCTCAAAGTTTCAATAGGTGACAGAAACCCATTTCAAAAGTGGTACATTATTTTCTTCCATCCATTTTATAGCATTTTTTGAGGTAGGGCACGCTGCACCATCTTGCTGGAACGCAAAATCTTGGCCGGATGTCAAACATTCTTCCATCACTGGTAAAAGCGATTCATACATATACATACTGTCCAAGACCATAATGCATGCTGGAAATTTCACTTTTCTCTTCAGACAGTCAACATGGAATGCTTCATTTTTTTGCGAATAGCACTACTGCGACTGTCACCAACACAAACTTCGAATCGGGCCTCATCACTCCATTGTATTGCATACCATTGTCTATGTTCTTTAGCCCATCTTTTGCAGTGGAGTTAATAGTGGCTTTTCTTGGGCCTATAAACAAGTTGTGCTATTTCAGGGTTTTAACTTCACTTTTTTTATAAGAAAACTTGTGGGCCTCTCTATGAGTTGTGGACCTCGAAATTCTGCTTCCAACAGCGTCACTCCACAGAGCACTTAATTGTAAATAATTGGCATGCCTGCTTTTCACGATTATTCTTCTTAATGCTCTTCGGTCGGCATTTGTGATACTACTTTTTTTCACATATCGTGGCTTAATATTAACTGAACCAGTTACGTTATATCTTCTAACAATATTTCTCACACTGTACCGAGATAAGTCTAACAAAGTTGCAATTTCTGAGTTTGATTTCCCAGAATTAAAAAATTTAATTATCAGTAACCGAATTTTCTCACTAATAACCTTTCCTCTACCCATTTTGAAAACCTTAACTACCCAAAACTATTTTAAACGTATTCTGACAGCTGTGATTAATAAAAACAATTGTCATGGCTTTTATTTTTCACAGCCACCTATGCGCTATAGACTTATTTTGCATTGAAATGAAAATAGGTTGATATGCTGTAATTGTAACATGTGTTATTTTTATGCTGCAAATTTGATTAGGGAGTGATAAAGTTGGTGTTTTCTACTATATATGTATTATCAAAATATTCATTGTTAATATTTTAAACCTATAACACCCTGCTACATTTTTATTATTTGTGTTTGATAAGAAAAAAACTAAGATTTCAATAGTTGGACCAACTGAAGTGGAAAGGGGCTCGTATGTGTGAGGGAGGTGGATGTATGGAAATAATTCTTGTAATTTGACTGTAACTCGAAAAAAACTGTGAAAAGGCCTGTAGTGTATTTGTTATTTTGCCTTAATGTATATTTCTACGTTTTGTTCTTCTGCTGATTATCGAATGTCGTTGACTGAGGATATGGGGTTCTTATCAGTATAATTAAATACTATATATTATAAGACATACAAAGCAGTAGCGTTATCAGAGTGCATAGACGCATATCCAGATTTTGCAATGCAAGTAACAATAGGTGATTCTTTTTGCACCACTTACTAGCAGAAATAAAACAACTATTACGCGTTTAAAAGAATGCCTACCACATTTGTAAAAAGCACTTATTTTAGACAGTTGTTGCTATTTTTTGAAAGGCCTGCTTAGTAATTTTTTAATCATGTCCTCGCTTTGAGCTGTTTAAGAAACACGATAAATTAAATTTGGTCTAGTTTATCCTATGTGATGATATTTGAAATTTTAGGTGCACCAAAGTCAGTGATAACTTATAAGAAATTTGAGAGTTACGTATTTTAACGCTTTGCAACCTCTCTAGTTTTTCTTCCCAAGCCGACTGGAACTGCAATAGAGAAAAATGGGAAATGATACACTATGTTCTTTGGACCAAATATGACATTTACATTACAAAAAACTGTCATTCATTTCCGCCTGGCTGTCTGTTTGTTGATCTGTCTGTCCGCTAATTCTTGATCATACAGTATCCTGGAAAGCACCGATGGGATTTTGAAATAATTTTCACACAAGGTTACTACTGCGAGAAGGTCAAAAAAGCTTTGTAGGTTTTTGAAATAGATCCAGTGGCAGCGGAGCTACGATCAAGAAACAAAAAAAAAATTAATTCCTTAAAGTCCGATTTTTGACGTATTAGGCACCTGTTCGGTTTAGATTTTTTTTGGAGTGGCTGAAAATTACATCTTTGAATATGTTCTTCTACTAAGTGTTTCATCTCGATAATATCACTCATCTGTTAGATATACAGTGGAGCCCCGATAATCCGGCCCCTGTCTAATCCGGCGCCCCCTGTAATCCGACATGTCTTTGAATATGTATGACATACATATGTATCTGACAATCTTCGCTAATGTAGATCACGCAGGTTTGAACAGGTTACAACTTGTACGCGCCACCGCTATCGTGCTCGACGCGTAAGCATTGTTTTACTTAGTTTGAATTTGACTACTGGTTATAGCGGTATGGCCTAGCATGCGTTCATTGTTTACTATTTATTCATTGTGTATTAAGAATAGTACCTAGTAATGTCATCACAAACTCAGAAGCGAAAGCACAAGACATTCACAATTAAAGAAAAATGTGATACGGCGTAGGCCGATCTACAATTTATGACATTAAAAGAAACCACGAGAAGATCAAGAAGTTCGTGTCAACTACTGACTGCGGGCCAGGCAAGAGACAGACACTCAAGAAAGCTGAACATCCAGAAGTGGAAGAAGTGGAAGGCATGCACCAATTTCAGGACCCATGTTGGCCATGAAAGCTAAGTTTTTATATCAGGAGATAACAAAAAAAGATGATTTTTTGGCCAGCACAGGATGGCTAGAACGATTTAAAAGTCGTCATGGCATAGGTTTAATGAGTACAACAGGAGAGAAACTTTCTAACGATGCCGCCTGCATAGAGCCCTTTAAATTAAGTTTTTTGCAAAAGGTGAACGATTTGAATCTTGATCCGTCACAGGTGTACAATGCAGACGAATCAGGGCTTTTCTGGCGTGTGATGCCTAACAAAACTTTCGTTTCTTGTAACGAAAAATCCGTACCTGGACGAAAAGTAAGTAAGGAGCGTATAACCATGTGCTAACGCTGCGGGCACACACGTGCTTAAGATGGTGATCATTGGGAAATCTAATAAACCACGGGCAGTCAAAAACATTGATTTACCTGTACACTATTACGGACAAAAAAGTGCATGGATGACAAAAGACCTTTTCAAAAAGTGGTTTGAAGAATGCTTCGTAGCTGAGGTTAGAAAATGATTAAAAGATCATAATTTTCCTCAAAAAGCGTTGTTGCTTCTAGATAACACTCCCGGTCATCCGTCTGAAGAAGAACTAACAACTGAGGATAAATGCATCACTGCGATGTTTCTTCCGCCAAATTGCACTACACTGATTCAAACAATGGACCAGAATATCATTAAGTTTGTCAAGCAAGACTATAAGAAAAACCTACTTCTGAGAGCCGTATCAAAAGACCAACCAATAGAAAGAACTTTAAAATAATTTAATATGAAAGACTTGATTTTTGCTCCTTGTCGGTCGTGGAATGCGTTACAGTCATCAACTATTAAATCGTCTTGGAAAAAGTTATGGCCAGATATAGTCACCACTCCTAGCAACGTTCCATAAATCAGTGTTACCTCGGAAGTTATAGAACAAGTCGCTACTGAAACACAGATAGGTCCGGAAGATTTGGAAATATGGTGTCGTGGAATGGATAAAGAGGAAAATCTTTTTCATGAAATGTCTGACGAAAAGATTATAAAATAGGTTTCTAATTATACAACAAACAATCAGGAAAATAACGACGACGTGATTGCAACTGCTCCACAAGTCACACCACAAGACGCAATTAACGCCTTTAAGCTAGGTTTACAATGGACTGAAGAGAATGGTACATCCTACAACGAACTTTTACTTTTGAGAAGACTGAGGGGCAAAGCTCTGATCTCGCGTTATAACAACCTTAAACAAACAAAAAATTGATGAATATTTCCAAGCTTCATAATTTGATAAATTCATTAATGATTTTGATTAATGATTCTTGATTGTTTTGGTACATATGTATGTGCATTTATGCTTAATTTTATAATCAAACGTAAGCTCTCTATTGGGACACTCAAGATCAATGCGTCAAATCTCAAAAGGTTATATTTTTAAGCTCTATTCAATAAAAGGGGGCTAAGTTGCAGAAACAGGGCTGCGTCATGCAAACCTAAAATAATTTAATACAGGACCCCTGACTGTCATCAGTCATCACTAAATAAGAAGTAACTATGTAGCGTCAGTTACAACTGACTGACAAAACGGTAAAAATTTGAGACATTGCTTTTGCATTATTGCACCATATGTAAATTCAACGTAGCTTTTGCGTCCTACCTACCTACCAACGGCGGCTGCATTAGTTTGTTCTTCGTTAAACATGTGTGAAGTTGTCTTTTTTCCTAAAAGGTATTTACTTGACTCACTTTTGTCTAAGCAGCTATAGCAACATATTACTCCGCATTATATAAGCAAATATAAAAATATGGTGATTATATTTGGTCTGTTAGAAACCTGTTCTAAGTAGGTTAACTCTATTTCTCATTTGCAATTACTGGTAATTTTTTTGCGCGGAAGGTGCAGCCAGTCAAATTGACGACATTTTTTACTATAACTTAATGTGACCGAAAATTTTTCAAAAACATAGAAAAATCTGAATTTGAGATTATTTAAAAAGATATATTTGGATACACCCGATTGCAATATTTTCTTCGCCGATTGATATGGAAGTGAAAATTATTAGCATTTCAATAAACGTAAGAATACGAATTTTTAGCAGTACATGAGGTGACAGTTGAAGTTCTGATTTCAATCTTCAATGTTTTGTATGCAGTCATCAAGAAACGACAAATTATAATCTTGTTTCATATTTTTCAGTATTTTGGAGCCTCTAGCGATGAGCAATCTAGTATCATACTTCAAGCCTAATCAAACGACAATGACCAAAAACGAAGCCTACTACTATGCAGCTATGATCCTCTGTTTGAATTTGGTTCAATGCGTATACATACATAACTACATCATATGGGTGCAACAACTAGGTATTGAGATCAAGACTGCTTTCTCCTCGCTGTTGTATAGGTGAGTACGTCAAAGAAAAAAAATCATACTGTAATATTGAGAATTATATATATATATATATATATATATATATATATATCGGTACCTTAGAGGTATATACTCGTAACTCCATATAATGGAATTCAGAGAACAAGCAAATTAAAGATTGAGTTAGTAGGAGGAGAATGGCTTTTTGTTCATGTTACTGTTAATATGCGAATATAGTTTTTTGGGAAAACATATTATATGGTACACAGAACAGTAATGCTTCATTTGATATTCAGATTATTATGTGAGTTACGACTATTTACTATGATAATAAAATCCAGATGCAGCATAGGATGAAACACAGTAAATACAGTTGGTGGAAATAGGGTACATTTTATTATTACAAAAAATGACATCTGGAGAATATATATTCAATCGTCGTCGTCATCATCTCCTTGTTGACCCAGCACAGGAATATTTTTATAAAAATCATGAAATGCTTGTGGTATCCATTGCAGAAGCACGAGAAGATGATCGTGCTCTTTCTTGCTAAGTCCTTTTGAGGTTTGACTCGGCGAACATAGTTCTAGTGGTAACCCTATCGGTTTTCTAGAGAATCTATTCATGTTTACCATTTTGTAGTCCTCTTGGCGTATGTCTGTTGTCTGTTTTATAGTAGAGTATCCCTGGATCCTGTTTTCGAACCTAAAGCCACACCGCTGATGACACTGTCTTTGTCTACTGTCTGTTTCTTTTGAATGAGAGGTGATCCTGTGCCGAAATATAAGGCCACGAAGTTCTTGAAGTCATCTAACTGCATCTCGAAAACTGTGGCTCCGGTTGATCTTGTTGCTGCCAGTCCCATGGCGTACATATTTTCATGGTTGGTTGTTTTTTTATAACTCGTTAGATAAGTGCATGGATATGATCAGCTTCCATGTGTGTGTGTGTGTGTGTGTGTGTGTGTGTGTGTGTGTGTGTGTGTGTGCGTGTGTGTGTGTGTGTGTGTGTGTGTGTGTGTCCACGTAGAAGAAACTTGTGAATGATACACTTCAATGCAGGACTTATTATTTGTAATAAGTAAAAAGTAGTTTACGATCATCATAATGTTCCTGTTTTGGCTCGGAAACCTATAATATCAATTATGTTGTACTTACTAGATTCTCGAGAATCGATTTCCTCCTCCAGTGCAAGCTGCAGTAATTTTTGAGCCATTGAGGACATTATTACCGTTTTTTGGTTACTTAAGCACCTTGATCAACTTTGAAGAATGATTGAACAGCACAGTTTGTAAAGTAAGCGGTGCGCTTCGGAGGCACGACTGTTTACGGCTGCTTAGCGATGATTCATATGATAGCATTGAGCGTATGTATGGAGAAGTGACTGTTTACCTCTAACAAAAAATCACTAGCTGCTTGTTCTATTTCATATATTTAATGATTATCGTGGTTAGGTGCTAAGATCATTTACTTCACGTAAAGATTAACCAGGGATACTAATTATACGCAGATAATCACATAAACTGCAAAAATGGAGTTACGATCGTTTACCTCTAAGGCACAGATATAAGTTCAATTCATTGCATCTTTAGCCCTATTAGATGCTTCTCATATCAACTCGTTCCAGCTCGGTAAGGGGTAGCAAGCTATAAACTGACTCACTTCTTAACTTGTTTATGTCCATTTAGAAAAAAAAAGTTGAATACAAAAGTTGCAGGGTCTAACATAAAGTTTTTCAAGCAGTATCTTTTGTGTATATCTCAGGAAAGTGCTATCAATTAAAGTTGCGTTCTTTGAGTGGAATTTCCTGTAGTTCTAGAGAAAATGATACTCTTTTTTTCTGATTTCAAACAAATATAGTTATTTTATATATATATATATATATATATATATATATATATTTATATTATTAGTTATTAGTTATAGTTTTTTTTGATTACTTCAGCCAAAAACGTCAATTCTACGTATCGCTTAATTATACAGGGGTTACACGTAGGAGTTATCAATTACTCCAAAGGTATGGAAGGCAGTTATGAAAATTTGGGATTACAGTATAACTAATGGAAGCAATTCGGCGAAAATATTTTCAAAATGATGAAATTTCCGCAAGTAGATATGAACATGTTCACTTTAAATAGAATATATCATACAGGGTGGCCAATATACTGATTTAAATTGCGCGCGATTTTTGATACCCGCATTTCGGTAGCTGGCGCCTTAGTAGTTATTTAAAGCACATGTGTCCACTTTATCATGGAGCGTTACACGATCCCACAAAGCGTCCGAATTGTTAAAACGTTTTACTTAAATAATGAGTCGATTGTTGCAACGATTCGGAAGCAACGACAGGGTATCGGTCGAAATAATGTACCCAGAATCAACACCATTCATCAGTTGGTGCGGAAATTTGAACAAATACGTGAAGCTAAAGAATTGTCAAGGTCGGGCCGTGTACTAACTGTTCGTACTCAGGAAGATATCGAGAGAGTTCGTGAAAGTGTAGTGGAGCGCCCTGGGACGTCTACCAGACATTGTTCTCAAGAACTGGGTATTCGTCGCACGTCATTATGCACTATTTTAAAAAAAATCAGATAAGTCGCCGCCAATACATTCTTGCAATATTGCAGCTTAACACCTAAAATAATGATTTTTACCGACAACTGATAATGAGCGATAAGCCCACATCGATATGAACGGATTTTTAATAAGCAGAATTGTCGTATCTGGGAATTAGAGAACCCTTGTGTTTGGTATGGAGGTGTTACTGGCGAGCGCTACCGTGGCATGGTACAAAACGCAAAACTTTCTGGCTCCTTAAATCCAATAATTTAACCTGCAAAACATGTGGTATCAGCAGGACGGAGCAATGAATCTTTTGCGAACAATATTTCCGGGACGTTTAATTTCTCGATTTGGTGATAACAACTGGCCACCAAGGTCACTGGACTCAACGGCTCCTGACTTTTTTATGGGGATTTATGAAAAATAGGGTTTATGCCAACAAACCAAATACTTTAGAGCAGCTGAAGGACAATATTACGGAAGCGATTGAAAATATTCTTCCCGAAACCTATCAAAAAAAGATGGGAAATGTAATCAAGAGGGCTCAGGTTTGCGTGGCTTCTAGAGGCGGACATTTGTCTGATATTATCTTTCGTACATAATTTCTAAGTTTCAACAAAAAATTAAGATAAAAAAATGGACGTATTTTATTTCATTTCACAAATACTCAAGATACAAACCAGTCAGTTACATATCGGCCACCCTGTATACCATTCAATTTTTGTATACTGAGTGAGATTATGAATACATTACATAAATATCATCCTGCACCTACGTCTATCTGTTTATTGCCTGCCAGCAGGAACTATTGTAATCGCCAAAAATTTCGAAAATGTAATATGTTTTTTGGATGTTATATGTCATGTACGAGTATGTTCATCACGAAAAAGCATGTTAGTCATTTCCGTCGGTCTGTTCGCTAATCTTATAGCCTCCTATAGATTTAGAAGTATCGCTCGGATTTCGATGAAATTTTTACACGATGTTACTGCTATGCCAAACACGTAAAAGCTTTGTAATTTTTGATAATCGGTCCGGTGGCGGCAGAGAAAAAGGCCAAAAGCGAAAAAGAATGAAAATCGCTCAAACTTCGTTTTTTGACGTTTTAGAGATCCTCATAATTTTGGAAAAAATTTAAAGGTAAAATAACTTGGTGTTGGGTATTGCATGGGGGTGGGGAGGGTTTATCTCAATTTGTTGAAGTTAGTACATTTATACGCCCCCAATCTTGGTCATTCCACGCACCTATTAGACATATTCTACACATTTCTCTGTACAGTAGCCCTTAAAACTTATTAATTAATTACATCAGCAAACGGATCGCGTATCCACCGCCCGCGGCTGCTGCTACCGGCGGCACGCTACCAGGCGTGGTGAGTTCTGTTGTTCTGTGTTACGTTCTGCTGTGATTGTGCTGCCATGTCTGACCGGGTTAAGGCTAAGGCGGCGTAGCCACATGCACTGCCGATAGGGCAAGAATGTCTGTGGACTAATTGTATGGACCTGTTTGATAGACCTTTTTCTCAGGGGGTCTAGTTTGTGCAGAAGATAATTCTTTATGAACGGATAATGGCGTTGCGCGGAAAGTGCAAAGTCAACCTACTTGAGGCTATTTTTTCTTATATTTTTGTCGTTGCCATGTGATTTGTAACGGGTTTCTTTGAGTGGGGCACCTCCTTTAGTAGATTTTATTTCGAATTTGGATAACAAATAGTACCGGACGGTCCAAAAAGATAAGAAATAGATTTAAAAAATTCAAAAGGTCAATTTTTTCAAACTGAAACCACGTTTTTTCATAATTTCATCGCATCAAGGATTGAAAACATGGTTAATTTTGTATAAGGTTGTCTATTCCACAAAATAATGGCTTTCGAGATATATAGAAATATTGACTTTTACCATAAGATAGTCTCAGTTGGTCATGGCGACAATCAAGCAAACTACGAAGGATGTCACGCAAGCAAAAGAAAAACCAATAACTCTGAAACTATTAATTGGCAACATGCACAATCTTATAAAAATTAACCTTATTTTCAATGCCTAATACGATAAAATTTTCCAAAAAGTGACTTCTTTCTGAAGAAATTGACTTTTTGGGTTTTCTCAAATCTAAGTTCCATTTTCTTATTTCGACCACTCACACTTTGTTATTCAAACCCACAATAAACTGTACAAAATTAGTTCCCTCGCTATAAGAAACCACACAAATCATATAGCAAAGGCGAGATAAGAAAAAGTTGTTATAATTCAATCATATTTTGAAAATATTATAGTTGCTTCCATGTCTTACGTCAACTTTTGGAGTGATCACAGTCTTACGGGGGAGACCCTGCTGGCAATGCACCCTTACTAGATTGCAAATGCGGCTAGATGCATATTGGTTTGAAGTTATATCCACAACTTTATCTTAGCGCTAAATATTCACCAAATTGGTGTGGTGCAACAGAAATCTACTTTGCCAAATGATCTAAACATCGATGCAATATACAGAAACTTCCTAGAAACTCATCCCGATAGGAAATGTTCATATGAGCTTTACAGAAAATTAGGGCATTAAGAATGTGAGCTTTTTGAAGGATTTCAATTGCATAATGCTTCAGATAAAATTAATACCGACTTGGACAAACATTGTAAAGTATGCCAGGAATGGGAAATACGCATTAAAAGGGCAAGCAAGTCTAGAGAGTTATATAGAAAAGAATGTGAATCTCGAGAGAGTGATAATGCTTCTCCGCATTAGGAAACATTGGCCGCGGTAGGCCCCAAGAATGGCCACCAAGGTCCCCAGACCTCAACAGTTTAGATTTATTTTTGTGGGGCTATCTTAATACACTAGTGTACGTAAGTTCTATTAACACTGTAGAGGAATTAAGAGAAGGAATAGTTGCAGCTTGTGATAGAATACAAAACACTCCAGAGATATTTCAACGAGTGCGTAATTCCATGAGAAGTAGGGCGGAAGCATGCATACTAAGTGAAGGTGGCCATTTTCAACAATTTTTTTAATCATTTCGTTGGTTTTAATGTTATGTTTATGTTGTCAGTTGTTGTTGTTCATTACCCCTAATGTGTTTAATTTTTCCAATTAAATTAATAATAATTTTGCAAGTTAGACAATAGAACGGTTTTTATTTTTTTACTCAAAAATGGCGAATCGAAGAAAAACAATTCAAGTTAGATCATTTGTTTTAAATTGAACGGGGAATTCAAAAATAATTTTTATTTGGCAAAAAACTATTGGCGTACCATTTTTTTCTTAAAAAATATCGAAGTCAATACCGGTACGCACGCCACTGTTAAAGCTAAAAATTATTTTTGCATTGAAAAATATGCAACTTTACTAACTTTCACTACGTACTAAATATCAGTGAAATATCTGAAGCGATTCTGAAAATATTAATTAATTTCCATTTTTTCCTAAAACTTCAACACCCAGGAAACATTTTTGGAACATAGTTTAGAAAGCAAGCTAACATTAATTTTTCATGTAGATTTACACCCTTAAATATTCGCATATCATTAAGGAACACCCTGTATAAATACACGTATTCTTAGAATAAGTTATATTCGTCGTAATAAATAATACGATATTAAAATATATAAAATGATTGTATATTGGCGCAGGTATCAATTTTTATCATAATTACATAGTTAAAACCAAACATAAGCCGAATTTGTAGTATACGTGGTTTTAACTAATTATTCTTAGCATAATGCGTTGCTTTCTTAGCCCGTATATCGCATAAATAATAGATATGGCGTAATTTTGCGTATTTCTTTAGTCAAGTAAAAGTACAACATACACAGCAAAAATCTTTAATCGCGGTTTTCTCAAAAGTTGTTCAAGTGGAGATTCGGGGGTCTTTCTTGATAGGGCAGAACACTTTTGCTGAGCGGCGGATTTCAGAGAGGCGGTGTAACCGGGCATTAAATCTTCTCTGAAACATCCTGTACCAACCAGAGAATACCGCATTATTGATACGACGAGTACTGTTTTCTATTATGCTGATAGTAATAAAACATCCTTTGCAAGTCTACCATTTATCTGAATCCATATGAATTCTGTATATTTTAACACTTAGGAAGTCGTTGAGGCTGACACCTTCTGCTATCTCGGATATATCCTTGGGAAACATCGTCACACTGATAACAAAGGACGTCTACTCTTTCCAACAGGCTATCTGGATGATCAATGACACTTGGATTGGCGTTCTGCAGACCTGTGTCATCTGTTATTTGCTTTATTCAAAAATTGGCGTTATTTCGTTCATTGGAATTGGATTTCTGCTTGCAGTTATGCCTGTTCAGAGTAAGTAGGTATACAACTTAAGGGACGCTTGTAAGAGATGATTAAACAAACTAAACGAGAAAGCATGTTTTGAATAGTGCACCATTTTTCTTTATTTAGTAAAAAATGAGTCTGTATAAAGGGTGTCAATAGGTATTTTGTTAGATGATACCAACAACTTTGGAAAAATATAGCTCATGTTTTCATTATCAGTGCAAAAGACTGGACGTTATTGCATTGATTACTTGAACGTTATTAGCTAATTCGTCGAATAAATTAATTAATTAGCTGTAATGATCACGATGACGTTCGTTAATCAAGATATTAGTCGATTTTCTCACCAAGATAGGCCAAAATTTGAGAGGGCATTCCGACGTTAGTTTAAAGTTAATATTATTGATTTGTTGCGTTGAATAATGCGAATCGGGAACCGATGATTTGGTGGTAGCGGTATGGGAGAAAGACGGAAGCTAGCCTATCTATTTACTGCATTCTGCTTCTTCAAGAACGGCACATATTAAGTCGATTTATTAAATTGGTTAATCTACAATTTACTAATTTGTTGGCCTTATTACTTCTAAACACTGATTTATTCTGAAGAATGTCAAACTCGCGACAATTCAAGTAAAAATGCAGCGCCCTTCTGGGGTTAAGCGGTAAAACGAAAAGATATCATGTTTGTCTAGTTAGGTTACTTTAACTGCCTTTCTAATATTAAGGATGATATTGTACTGACATTGGTTGTAATAATTAAATAAACTCAAACTTCAATTAGCTCATGTAATATGCAAGGATAATAGAGGTGAACATTTAGTTGGAGTTGTTTGGAACCAAGGGAGTGGGATCGTTTCATTATCAAAAGTATTAAAAAGATAGATGCAAGAGAAGATGCTAACCGCTGCAAGCGAATCTTCCCTGGAATTTCGGCTTGCTGTGACTTCAAAGATGAACGCATATCTAGTTCTCCCATCAGAATATGAAAAGAATACCCATTTGGTTGTACAGATTATTAATTTCTTCCATTTCAATGCAACACCACTGAATTAATATGACTCTGAAACAACAACAACAAACTACTTTTTGTTATTTTTACCCTGCAGCTAGTTAGTTCTATCTATAGGGACATACTTATCAAGTGAAAATATACTAAGTGACATTTAAATCCGAACACCCAGTTTAAATGGTTTTATTTTAATAAAATAGTACTTAATGAAGCATAATAAGTACATGATAAAAATTTCAAAATGATTGCACTGCTTTAAAGCTCTTTGACCTTTAATAATGTGTGGATGCACCCTGATGTGCTACGCATTCTCCAACGCGCCTAGGCATGCTTCTGATTAGGTGGTCAATGTCCTCTTGTGGTATCTCATTCCAGGCAACCACCAACTCCTCTCGAAGTGCTTCTAGAGTCTGAGGAGGACGTTGCAAATTGAGCAATCTCCTACCCATCATATCCCACACGTGCTCAATTGGGGATAAGTCGGGAGATCTTGGTGGCCATGGTAACAATGTGACATCATTATGTTGAAAGAAGTCTATTGTGACTCTTGCAACATGTGGTCGGGCATTATCTTATTGGAAAGTTGTATCTGCCAGGGTGTCAAGATAGGGTAAAAGATGGGGTTCTAGAACTTCGTGGATATAACGCTGCGCGTTCATGTTACCTCTGATGAAGATTAAAGGTGACCTGGAACCATAAGCTATAGCACCCCAAACTATAACTCCAACAGTGTGATGAACATGTCTTTCAACAAAAAACTGTGGATTCCTCCTTTCACCACGTCGCCTTCTAACCCTGGCACGACCATCGTGCATGCCTAAACAAAATCGAGACTTGTCACTAAAGACAATACTGTTCCATTCCTGATCCCAGAGTGACCGTTGTGTGCACCACTCAAGGCGATTACGTCGGTGTTCTCGAGTTAAAGGGAGGACCCAGTGTGGCCGGTATGAAAACAAGCCAAAACTTCTCATTCGTCGGTAAACACTTCGCATGCCAATAGGTCTTCCGTGTTCTGCAAACCATTCATTTGCAATGGACCTGGTAGTGGAGAAACGGTCCCTTAAGGCCAACAATCTTAGGCGGTCTGTTGTTCTACGGCGGCGTCCAGTGCCCCTTGCTCTTTGCGTACGGCCTTCTCGAAGCCATGCCTGACAACACCTAACCACAGTGTCTACACTTCTTTGCACTCTAACTGCAATTGCCCGAAAAGAAAGTCCAGCTTCCCGAAGTCCCACTATACGGCCCCTATCAAACTCACTAAGTTGACGAAATCGTACAGGTCTCCGTACTCTAGGCATCGTAACCGATCGTAAAGGATGTCAAGAACCAAAATTCGCCAACGTTGATTCTTTACTGCGGCTGAAATATTCATTTTTAGAGCGTTAGTGAATTAAAAAAAAGCAGTATAAAAACCGGAATGTCCAACTGATAAGGCTGAAAATTTTTTCACTTGTTATTTACAGGAAGATAAATACATTCACCAACTTTTATCAAAATAAAACCATTTAAACTGGGTGTTCAGATTTATATGTCACTTAGTATAACTCATAAGTTTACTGATAATTCGCGATTAAATTCTCAACTGTCCTTCTGGTCGTGACTTCAATAAATTTTTCAGAGGCAACTTGGATTTTTGATAACAGAATTTATTCATCAATACGGTTCGGTTATTCGTTTTTATAATAAGTAATGAAGCGAATATAATAAAACTCTTTCAGTTGCAATTGGAAAATACGTCAGCAAGTTGCGATTGATTGTTGGAAAGAAAACAGATGAAAGGCTGCAAATCACCCAGGAAGCATTATCAACTATAAGAATCATAAAAATGTACACTTGGGAGAGGTTTTTCAGTGATAAAGTCAATCAAGCAAGGAAGTAAGTATTTACTCAAATCACAGAAAGTACTTTTAAGTTCATTGTAAGCGAGACGACCCTACATGTCTCGAGCGCACAGCTCATTTTTTGAATCTAGTGTTAGGTTAAGGGTGGGACTGTTGCCTGACTACAACACATTTAGGCGTCATGAGTGTGGCAAATATGGATGCTGCGAATGAGAAGGAGAGATATACGGTCACAATCTTCGTCATTGTGTGGCTCTGGGATACGACGCAGTCAGATGATTCTGGTATCCAACACTTTGGAGACCCAAGATCCTAAAAGATGGATCCCAAGGTTACAGTTCGCCTAGTATCTGTAGAGGCGCATGAGTGTCCGGCATCGGTGCTTCTTGGTCGTCAAAATATTACAATACAATACAAATAGTCCTTATTCGTCAAATCATCCCAAGATGATGTTGAATGCCTTAGAAAACAGCGGCAGTACTAACACATTAAAGAGATAACAAGGTTAAGATATAGTAAAAAATTCAACACATCTAAGTGTGATTTTAAAAAAAAACCACTAACTGAACAGTGTAAAAACATTCGATTTATAAATTGTTCTTGACATCTCTCTTAAAATTTTAAAGAAATGATGCTTCCTTTATATGTGTTGGAAGCAAGTTGAAAAGATAACAAGCAGCGTGAACTGGAGATTTTTTGGATAAAGAGTGATACAACTTATTTATAACCAAATTGTAATTTTTTTCTGGTATCATTATTTCCTCTTATTCATTCATAAAAGTAAGGATGTGTTGATGTTGTTATCATCACATTGACCAATAGGATTAAAAAAGAGTGTTGAACACCAATAGTCCTTAAAATTTTCATCTTAAAAGCGTTGATCTGTTTTGTCGCTCTTTATGCCCCTGCTTCCCCTGACTCTGAGCAGGACTTGACCTTGACAATGATTCGATCTTGAGCGCATTTTAAGGACCTTGGCGTTGAGCTCTCCTTTTCTTGCTACTATGAAAATAAAATGTTCCTTCCTTTCAGAAATGAGGTGAGCAAGATGCTGCTAGGCTTCTATCTCCGACTCATGATCGTCATACTGGGCATACTGTTCAGCAAACTAGGTTTTTACGCTCTGATAATGTCATACTCATGGTTAGGCTACAAAACGAATGCAGAACTGGTATTCTTTATTCTAGCTATATTTAAAGATCTGAGGCACTGTTTAGGAGTTGGAATTCCGTATGGTAAGCAACATATTACAACAGTCTGGCCCTGATGATATTATGCTTTATGATATTTTCTCACAAGTCAAACAACATGGTGCCCTTGAGGTGTCGAAGTAATATTTTTGTCATTTCGGAGCCAAGAACAATGCAGATGTTGTCGAAGATTGCGTAATAGTTTGGAATCTGAATTATTATGTCTTGTTTCATAGTCATGCACATCATGTGTGATCAGAATTTGTATATTACTCTTCTGTTGGTTATTCAAAATTTTGAAAATTATTTTACATTCTTCTAATTCCAACGGTTTATCTAGTTTGCTAACATTCATTTCTGTGCACATATTGTCTGCCTTGGGAAGTCGGTCATAGTTCAACAAAATTCACAATATTCTATTTTACAAAACTTGTGCTTTATGGAATTCAGTTTCAACACAGATTCCCCAAATAGGTAACGTATAAGTATTTAAAGTGTGCCAAGAAAAATGCATTATAAATGTTTATTTTACCCTGTTTAGTTAAGTAGTCTCTGCTTGGGAACAAAACAGCTATAATCGACGTTGTTATATCCGATAAATGTTTAATATGGCTGGACCAATTCAAATTCTCATCTATAATTAAACCTAAGTATTTAATTCTTGTCACTTTTCCTTCATTTATTTATTCTTATACAAAAGTTTTCAAATATTTTATTCTTCTGTTTAAGAATTAGATATTTTTTGTATCGATGTTGATTTTCAGTTACTTCGAATACAGCCATTAACAGTAAAAGCAATATCTATATTAACTTCATCACGCAGAGCCTGCTCATGATTTCCTTTAAAGAAAAGAGCTGCGTCATCAGCTAAAGTGAAATACCTTGCATAAAGATTAGCACTCTTTAGATTTAGAACATATAGAGAGTATCATAGTGGCCCCAAGACTGACCCCTAGGGGACGCCATAGCCACTAGACAACCACCTGCTAAGTAAATAAGTTTTAATCAAATTACACATAGTACCCCGAATCCCAAATTTTGTAACTTATCCAATATACTATACTATCGATACCTACCATATCAGATGTCTTTCTTAAGTCTATAAACACCGATATAGCCACTTGTTTTTTGTCCAGAGCCCTTGATATACAATTTACAAAATCAACTGCGTACTTCTATTTTTTATTACCCATACTGGTAACTGTTAGCTAATGTATTTTTATCTATAAACGATACCATTTCCTTGATGATTTTTTCAACAATATTTTCAGATAAAACACTGATCCCAGATATTGACCTATAATTATTCAGAGTCTGTATCGCCTGATTTATAAAGTGGAGTAATTTTAATGATCCTAAGTTCATCCGGAAACTTTCCAGTTATAACTATTTGTATAGTATTGATTAATTTTACTAATATTTTCACAACATAAGGTCTGAGGTTGAGCCAATCTCTGACTGAAATGCCATCATGGCTGGGTGCTGAATTTATTTTTGATTGCAGTATGGTTTCATTCACCTCTTGTTCGTCAATTAGGTCTACCAAAGTGTTATGCATAACTTCCTTTCTTCAATATTTGCACCTGATGTTTAAAATTCATTTGTACAATAGAACCACCAACATTAGAGAAATATTTATTTAAATTACTTACTATATCTACCTATCATGCACATGAATATTCGTACTCGGTTCATATTTCCAGGAATGGGTCGAGCAGCAGAACTATATTCTTCCATAGTTCGCATAAACCGAGTGCTCCAAGGTGAAGAGCTGCATCCAAATTATGGAAACGACCATGCTACAGACAAACCCCTGATAGAATTGAAAGATGCCACTGTTCACATCAAAGAAACTGAGATCCTAAAGAACATTTCTTTCCGAACTGACTCTGGATTGACTTTGGTCACTGGGACTGTGGGGTCAGGAAAGAGTTCCTTATTGAAGACTATGTTGCAGGACTATCCTTTGACTAGTGGGCAATTGATCACTAGGGGAAGGATGTCTTACGCATCTCAGGATCCTTGGCTATTTCCTTCTTCCATTAGGCAAAATATTTTGTTTGGACAGAAGTATGATGAGAAGAGGTGAGTTTTTTATAATGTAGACCGTTTTAGTTCCAACTATTTAGGCATTTACTAATTTGGGACGCAATGGCTGTTTTTGAACAAATGGATCTAAACATGGTCGACTTTTTATAAAATATATCTCAAACTAGAGAAACATTATACGATTATACAAAACCATTTTTTCATCGTCGTCGTTCCACCGTATCTTGCAAAGGTGACGGTAGAGGACGCGAAAGGGAAACTAGCTCTTAATGCATGTCTATAAAAGTGACGTTTGCTGAAAAATAAGCAATCAAACTTTATTTATCACTTCGAAGACTCTATTACGGAGACTTTTGTACTGCAAGGGCAAAACTCAATACTCATTGATTTTATTTCACTGACCTGATAAAAATCTATAATGAGGAAAAATAGGCCTTTGTAGCTAACCTCATGGATTATTGCAAATACATCATTTTTATTAAATTATCTCTTTCAGGTAGATAGCGACAACGTAATTTTCAATAAAATGCTTAATAATTGTTGTCAGTTCACTCTATTACATTAGGCCGGATAAATTTCTTTTTGATTGATCAAATTTGTGCCTCGGACTCAAATTTTGTGTCCGGGCCAATTGAGAAAGTAGGTTTTTGTAGCTAAGCTAGGTGATATATAAAGTATTCATTTCTTGATTCAACATTAGAATCAGGACATTTTACAATAAATCGATTATATTCATTCACGCATTTTGATTCCCGGTACGTTTCTTTAGAATTGATTGCTGAGGCACAATCCCTTTTTGATTTGATTTTAAACAAAGAATAAAGCTTCCTTGAGAAATGGTCAAAGGAGGATTTCATATTTGCATTTTGAAGGCTAGAGCAATTGTCACCACCGATTTTCGAAATATGAAGTATTTTCAAAATTTTCGAAACTACCAAATTATTCAAAAATTATAAACTTTTAAAATATTCAGAATTTTCAAGATCCACCACATTTTCCGAAATTTACATGCTTTCAAAATATCTAGAATTATCAAAGTTTTAGAAGTTTAAAAATTTGATAATGTCGAAAATTCTGCAATTTTCGAAAGTTTTTCAAACTCTACAGCCTACTATGGAATACAAACGTTACATTCCTCCTAGAACGTTTCATAAAGGATTAAGGGTGTTAATGTAGTAGAACTGGAAAATTCATCGCACATTATATAAAAGGGCTAGGCCTATAATAGGTCTGCCTGTCTGACTGTCGTCGTTCTTACAGTTTGTCCATTAACCCTTGGCCTCTCTGTAACCCGAAAAGTAGTGCCGGGTTTTGATCAAATGATGACATAAAATCACTGCTATGAAAAAATCGATCTACTGACGTCGAGGTTATAGTCGAAAGACAAAATTTCTGCTTTTCAATTTTTTGTTATTGTAAATTTTACGGCGTTGCCTGAAAAAATTATTTGATGGGGAACATGTCTTTCATAACTTTTCGATCACTTTAAAGTTTGAAATAAATCTATATGCAGGGTTGTTCATTTGAAAACTTCCCATCACGGATTTATCGAAAACCAACGCCGAAACTCGTCAAAAGGTTTGTCAACGCGGACAACTTTTTAACCAAAAACTACTTCACCTCCTTTCACCCTTGGTCCCCCAGGGTCATTCCCTTAAAAATTTTAAATGACGAGTACTCTCTTGTTTGAAGGGTATCTCGAAGTTCTTTATTTTGACGTTTGATTTTTTAAAATCAGTCGATTCGTTTTCGAGAAAATTGGAAACATCTTTATCGATCTTAATCTTAAACAAAATCACACGAGAATATCACTTTTTATTTCAATAAGTGTTCAAAATGATGGCCGTTAGAATCTACAATTCGTTTATAATTTAAAACGGAAGCTACCAACATCAAAGAAAAACAATTTGATGTATTTGCCCTCACTGAAATATGGCTCACTGAGATGGTTCCTTCAGAATACTTTGTCTATAGATGGTTATACATTCCATAGGAAGGATAGAGACAGTAGGGGTGGCGGAATAGGTGTGTATATAAATGATGATATAAATTGTGAACATATTTCTATAACAGATTATATTGGAGATGATCCATCAGCAATTGAACAATTTTGGTTGAAACTTCAATTCAAGTCGTCCTCAGTTGCCTTAGGATTGTTGTTCAGACCTCCTGAGGCTAATCTCAATTCTGCAGTTGAAACTCTGGATACACTTTTATCGCATTTGTCTACTGTTTACGACCATATTATCATATTGGGTGATGTAAATGTCAATTTGCTAAATCTAAGTAACAAAATATCTCTTTGCTTCGACTCATATTCTTTTAAACAATTGATTGACGAGCCTACGTATACAAGAATTTGTTCTTCTTCTATTACATTACTAGATCCTATTTTTGTAAATTTTCTTGAACAGTGTCATAATATTGGTACACTAAATGTAGATGTTTTCACCGATCATAGGTTGGTTTACTGTGAAGCATCTTTTGATAAACATCAGACCCCACAAAAAATTGTCACTTACCGTGATTTCAAAAATTTTGATCATGACAACTTTATGGCCGACTTACTGAGTATAAACTGGAATGATATTATTTGTATTCGAGACATTGATGACAAAGTGGAATTTCTAAATGATCTTATAATTTCTTTGTTCGATATACATGCACCGTTGCGTACAGCGAGGGTAAGCAAGCCCTTTGCTCCATGGTTAACGCTAATCTTAAGAGCTATTTTCAAGCATAAGGATGCAGCTTTAATAAAATACTAACACAATAGGACAAATCAGAACTGGACAGCATACACAGAACTGAGAAATTATGCTCTTGCATCACAGCGTAGAGAAAAGGCTGGTTATCTTCAGTACTTACAAGAAACTAATAATTCATCTTCTTTATATAAGGGTATAAGGAATTTGAACATGCAGACTAAGAAGCGTAACCACATACCTGTTAGTTTACGTAACGCAGATAAATGATTATTTTTTATCTGTTTTTGATATAAATAGAATTTTATTATTTTAATTTATGTTGCCCAAAATCAATACGCTGGGTAAACTTCCGTCACGTTTAACGCCAGACATTCGGGGAAGATAACTTCTTATAGGTATGTTTTGGACCTTGTTACTAAATTAACTCAAACTGGATCTGTTGCAAACAAAAAATGTTATCATCGGAGAGTTGTGGATGAAGCCGCTCAAGTTGAACTTTTGGGTCATTTTGGAATAAATCCTAATACTTCATTACGCAAAACTTGTTGCTGCAACTGGCATTTTATTAGGCTCTGTACACACAGTTACCAAGATCCATAAATTTCATCTGTTCAAAATGAAAATATTGCAAGAGTTAACCGAAGATGATTTCGATAGGCGATTTGAGTTTTGTGAGCAAATTACCAGCTATTAATGATAATACCATTCGTGTAAAGAATATCTGCTTCAGTGATGAATGCACATTTTATCTAAATGGATTTATTAATAAGCATAACTGCAGGTATTGGAGCAATGAAAATATTCATGCTTTTGTAGAAGGGCATACCCAGTACCCCCAAAAAATTAATATATGGGCAGGCATTTTAGGAAACAAAGTGATTGCGCCATTGTTTATTAATGGAAATTTGAATGGAGACATTTATTTGGATATGTTAGAAAATACCATCAATTCGCTTATCACTGAAACCATTGAAAACCAAATCGCAGAGGATGGAATCCGTATACTTGATGATGCTGAAATATATTTCCAGCAAGACGGTGCTCTCCTCACTATGTTCTTCCGGTTCGGAAATGGCTAGACGACGAGTTTCCAGATAAATGGATAGGCCGAAGAGGGCCTTTAGAATGGACTGCTAGATCTCCTGATTTGACGCCACTAGACTTGTTTCTATGGGGCCATTTGAAATCTATTGAGTTTACTCCCCAACCTGAAAGTTTTTGAAAATGTCCGTCCGGAATTTGAACATCACCTATATCATTGTTTGGTCAATAACGGGTAACATTTTGAACACTTATTGAAATAAAAAGTGATATTTTCGTGTGTTATATAATTTTCAAACAAACTAATACTCGATACCCCTGGTCATTTAATATTTTTAAGGGGATGACCCTGAGTGGCAGAGGGTGAAAGGGGGTGAAGTAGTTTTTTGTTAAAAAGTTGTCCCCCTTGACGAATCTTTTGACGTGTCTCGGCGTTTTTTGCTTTCAATCAGTGGTTTTTGATAAATCCGTGGTGAGAATTTTTCAAATGAGCACCGAGTTTAATCTACTGGACTATTTTTTATTTGTTTTTAGGTACAGAGAAGTCGTAAGGGTATGCGCTTTGGAATACGATTTTAGTCTGTTTGATAAAGGTGATGAAACTATAGTCTCTGACAGGGGTCGAAACCTAAGCAAAGGGCAGCAAGCCAGAGTTAACTTAGCCAGAGCTATATATAAGGAGAGTGAGATATATCTCTTGGATGACTCCTTAACAGGTTAGTCTAGATATCGACCAATACTGTGATGGTTTGAGTATTGATATTTCAAATTATCGTTATCAAAGCTATCACCACTGATTTAATTTTTTTTGTTTGATAGGTAGCTTTTTAGCTACGGTACAAGAAAATCTGATTAGCTGTCGAAGTCGGACGATTTTTTAATATTCTATTAATACTTGTACTTGTATGTGGATGTGAAAAAAAATGATAATGGTGTAGGACTCTCCATTGTCTGGCCGAATCAAACCACACATATCTGTATGCTTAAATTCATGTTTATTGTACGGCGTTGCGATATTTTTAACTACAGTGACCACCGTGTTGGTCGAAACGTCGATCAATAAATCGGAACATAAACTTATATACTAAGTGACATATAAAATGCAACACCCAGAATTATTTATTGAATTTTGATAAAAACTTGTAAGCATATTTGCTATCATGGAAGTATATATGTCTGTATAAATGTTGAAGGCTTTCCGAGCCACACTTTATTTGTAAAGGCTTTTTTTGTCATATCAGGATCCGAACAATATGAACATGTTTATTTAATATTCAGTAACTTTTTTGTGCTGATTCCATTTGTTTTGTTGTTGTTTCTTTGCATTATCATGCTTAGAGTTCGCAGATGCGCTAATTTCATTCAACTTTCCGAGTTTGAGAGGGGTCGGATTACGTGAAGCCAGATTTTCTTTTAGAGAAATCGCTAATCGGGTGAATCAAAACGAAGCTACTGTAATGAGATGTTGTCGAGCGCGGTTCCAAGAAGGCCAAAATTGACAATTTAGAAGTACTGGACGTCAACTACAGTCTACAGACCAAGGCGACAGTATCGTTATTGGAGGCAACTAGCACTTAGAGCTCGATTTTGCACAACAAGGGCAGTTGCGAACCAGTGCTCACGGACGGGCAATAACAATGAGGACCTTTTATCGCCGAAGAAGGTCTCTTGGACTGTTGGAGTAGGGAGAGATTTGAGTGGAATATGGAATGGAACTCCACTCGTGTTCAGCGATAAGTCCAGATTCTGTTTGGGCACACATGATGGCCGTGCAAGAGTAAGAAGGAAGCATGGTGAAAGTCGGATCGTCCAATATTCCATCGAACGGCATATTCATCGCACTGTGGGTATTAAGGTATGGAGTGCCATTGCTTACGGCAGCAGGTCACGATTAGTGTTCATTCGCGGTACCATGACTGCCCAGCGCTATATCCACGAAGTTTTACAACCACATCGGCTTCCCTTTTTGGAAACATTGCAAAGTCACTTTTTCAGCAAGAAAATGCACGATCTCATGTGCTCGTGTTAGTTTAGACTTTTTAGAAGCGTCTAGAGTAGATCTGCCTCAGTGGCCTCCTTGATCTCCAGACGTTGCCTCTATCGAACATGTATAGGACATGATCGGAAGAAGGTTGCAAAATTCACGGCACCCTCCACAAACGTTGGAGGCTCTACGAAACCAAATTCAGATGGCCTGGGATATGATATAATAAGAAGATATCAATCACCTAATCCAATCAATACCGCGTCGACATAACGAATGTGTAGCGAACAGAGGAGCTTCAACACATTATTAACATTAAGATGGGATATCTCAGCTAGTTTGCGGTAGACCTAAAACTCTTAAAAGTATACTCAACATTACAATACTCCTAGTCATTGTTGCATTTTCTATGTCATTTAGTCTATGTGGTCAAGTTAAGGATTATTTTCAAAAGTTACATTGTAATTGAACCTTTTTTGATCGTTTTAGCCTTGGATGCGCATGTCCAAGATTTCATCTTCTACGAATGTATCAAGAAGTTCCTCAAGGATAAAATCTGCATTCTGGTAACTCAGACTGCTGGTCATATCCAAGAGGCAGACACTGTGGTCATACTGAATGGTGGGAAAATAAAATCTTGTGGCAAACCTGACGAACATGTACTGCAAGAAATTAATAAATTGATTGTTGAAGACGACGACTTAGAGAAAGAGGTAAACGTTACACTACAACAATCAAATAAAAAAGATAGAAACGTTGTCACAAAAATTAGAGAATTGATCGTCTACTTAACTGATTAATAAAACACTGTATTTGTACATCGAAGCATAAACATTTTCCTTTAAAGTACTTCCAGAATCTCCGAATACCTTAAACAGTTATGTAGATCTTAGCAAGAAGAACCAAAGTACTCCACGGGGTGCTCTAAAAAGGTGTTGGGTTTATTTTGTAACATTGTATCACTTGCTACATGAGAAAAATTACGATAGATTTTTTACAATATGTATACAGGGTGTCCGCAAAGTTGGGGTTTTCCTTTTCAGAAACAACTACCCTTGAAATAACAAAGGTAAGGTTTAGTGAAACGAGGGCGACCAAGTAAAAAAAAATAAAGGAAAAAGTACTCACTCTCCAGTTGACGAGAAGGGCTAAGTACGTCTCTGCCTGAAATCGAAAGTTATTCACCCCATTTCGCGTGAACGTGGATTCGTCTGTCACCAATATGCACTTCAAAAAGTCCGGATTATTGTCGTGTTGATGCAACAACCACTCAAAAAACCGCACTCTTGCTGGAAAATCGTCAGGTTGAAGGGCTTGTACACGTTGGACGTTTGCCACACTTTAGTTTTTGATACTTGCACTTCTCTAGCCACGTCTCTAGTGCTTGTTGAGGGATTCTCGTCTACGCGATTCAGTAGTTCTTCCTCAACTTGCACCATTCGTGGTTGTCTAGTCCGCCCACTGTGCCCACCTCGAAATTCCTCCAAATGGCCCGTATCCCTGACTCTCTGGACCAGGTACACAAATCTGCGGGGCCTTGGATGATGTCTAGGGAAACGATCTGCATACACTCGCGACGATTCTGTAGCATTTTGAAGACATTCGCCATAAATTAACAACATATCAACGAGTTCATTATTGGTGTATGAGTGTGCCATTATTATTTTTTTTTTGAAACGCAATCGATTATACGGGTTCGTTACTTCTATACGCGTGACCCTTTACCGTCGGTTGAAGGTTGCATACTGACCTGACACACTGACCCCGACCCCCGACCCAGTTCTGTCGTCGGGTCCAGCTAGTAGCCGGTACCAGTCTGAGATATCGCGGCGGGTCGCGGCTACAGGACGGATTCAGATATTTTTGATGTTGCAGAGCCCTTTATCTCGGTTCCCTTAAGACATTGGTGTATATGGTACTAAGAAAAATTGCTTATGTTTTCAAGATCTACACGTCGTGTAAAGGAAAACTCCAACTTTGCGGACACCCTGTATATTCAAGCTCAACAAAATTCAGCGTTTGGGTTGAATAACTATTCCAAGCGCAGTGCGTTCGACAGCATTGACAGCAATGGAAGCTCTTCTGGATCTCTCACCGTTGGATCTAGTGATCCGCGGAGAGGCGAGAGTAGTCGCATATTGACTGTGAAGTCATAGTAGCTGGGCCTTCATGAATCGTGTCAAAGGTCACATTGTCATCTTAGTCGAATTGCCAGGGGGAGATCCCATCCTTCTCAGCTTTAACTGCAGGTTTAATGTGGAGTATCCAACGAGAGCGGAGTGGAATTCCTGAAGCCGGGAGGTCTCCAAAGGAAGTGGGCAAGTCTGGTATACGGACGGATCTGTTACTCAAGAGGACTTTGGCGCCGGGGTCTTTCGGTTTGGAACTGGGCTCTCACTGCATCTCGGCTGATACACCATTATTTTTCCAGGCGGTAATCCATATGATTTTGGCTTGCGTATCTCGAATTATTTTTTTGGGAGGGGGGCGGGCCTAGGAGAAGAATAACAATCTTCTTCGGCAGCCAGGCTTCGATGAAGGCACTATATGCCTGCAAGATCACTTTGTATCGCAATGCATCCGGTATCGTTAGTGTGGGTACCGGGGGCACGCTGGGATAAAAGGTACTGATATGGCGGACGCTCTCGCGAAAGAAGGAGGGTAACGGAGAATTTGTTTGCTAGACAACACTCTCTGGAACGGAGAAGCATCTCTAGATACCTCCATCAGGCACGGGAGCTCATCTCAGGGCCCAGTGCTAAGAATGGACGGTTTTGTTTGTGTTTGGATAGAGCCAACCTAAGGTTGTTGGTGGGACTACTGTCTGACCATAACACAATTGACGCATCACCTGCATGTCATGGTGGTGACTGATGATCCCATGTTTGAGCGCTGCAGGGTAGAGGAAGATTCCCCGGCGCATATTCTGTGTTGCTGCTAGGCAGACTATATGTACTATATGACTATAATACTTTGGACTCCCAGAATGTTCAGGAGCTGGGTCTAAGGGCTATACTCAACCTCGCTAGAAGGGCGGAGCTTGATGCTTAGGGTAGTGTGTGTGTGTGTGTATAGTGGTGCATAAAGGCCCGTTATGTGGCTTATGCGCCGGCTCCTTGAGGTGGGCGGTATGCCTTTAATTTCATTGATAATTCTTTCATCCATCATTCTTCACAATATACTTATTACAACTCTCCTTGCAATTTGAAAAATTAAATTAGAGGAAATTCCTTGCATCTTTTGCAGGATCAATGGTTCAGGCGTATGGACATGACAAATCTTACAATAACACGAACATGAGAGAACTCATTCACTTTCAATGATACTCGTACATTAGTTTTATCTGGAATGTTTTGAGAAACTTTCAAAGATAGCTACATTTATAGATTTTGAATGTACTCCTCGTGCTTATCCACTATCGAGCCGTTCTGATCTCTAGCGAAGGTCAGGATTTGAGACCATTCCGCTGCGTAGGCAACCAACCAGCAGTGGATCCTCAGGGTCCCAAGCTCCCAAAATATCCGAGTTTCAAAAAATCTCCAACATGCATTGCAATTTGCAGTCGACCCCCTCCCACCCTTTTTTAATCATCGATACCCTCTGCTGTTCAACTGTCACAAGCACACCCGCTCTCAGAAGCACTCATGCAGAAGAGTAGGTAGTTTCACCCCCCTCTCTCTCAAAGGAAATATTTTTTACCTTCTACCTCTTTCAAAGGCGTTCGGCGTTGCTCGGAGCCTGCTATGAACCTCTTGGCCTTCATGCATTAGCCAATCTCTTCCTCGCCGCCTTTTTCCTAGGTCCATATACGCCTACTGAGTCTTGGCGCCTGCTTAAACCCAAGCTCGACTTGAGACCGATACAGGAGTCCCTGCCCCCAACGTAGCTAAATGATTAGCTTCTAGTTACCCTGTATACCACTCTGTCCGAGAACTCACAGCAGATCTACTCCTTTGGAATAGGCTAAACTCTGAAGAGTAGTGCGTTTCTGAACTAAATATGAACTAGGAGCTCCTACTGCCTTCAGGGCTGCTCCTCTAAGTATGTCACCATTAGAATAATAAATGTCTCTGCCTGGAAGCGCGAAGCTTTCCTACACGCCATTGCTTTTCAGGCATATTCCCGCAATATTGGGAAAATATCATCTAAAAACTTTTTGACGATATCTTTATTTCGAAGCTTTGTTTGGGAAAGATAGGTCTATCACAAATATCTAGTTTTTATGCTTCAATAACCCTAAACTTCTCATTATACTATTATAAATATATATGTACAGGTCATTGAAGAGAAAGAAGCAGTTAAAGAAGAAAAGGACGAGAAAACACATTTGTTGGAAACTGAACAAGTCGTTGCAAAAAAGAAAGTATATGAAGAGATCAACAAAAAAGGAGATGTAGATTTTGCAGTCTATAGGAAGTATTTGATGTTCGGTGGCGGAATGTGTCTCATGATTTTGAATCTAATTTTATTTGGTTTAGCTCAAGGAACTGAGAGTTATTCCGATCAGTTGTTGACACAGTGGTAGGTGGAGAGATTGAAATATGAAAACAATACAACAAAGAATTGATTCTCAGACTTATGTTACTAATGACTCAAATCTACCACTTATTAAAGATTTTGGTATATACTTGATATCTTTTGTATTTAATGACATCGGTAAATATTAATTATTGAAGAATTATTTCTCATTTATCTTTGAATAATCAGCTTTTCCATTCAGATCCTCGCACTTTTCCAATAAATATTCACTTCTAATCATAAACAGTGGCTTTCACTGGATTGCGCTTGTATCCAAAGAGGGCAAATAACTGCCTATTTTTAACAGTGTCCTTTATTAAGACGACTAAGCCTAATTGTAAGAAGGATAATATTTATAGTATCCTGAACATCTTTCAGGGTGGACCATCAGCACATAGTAGAACTTCTTGAAAAGAACCTTACATACTTGACCGAAGAAAACTCAACATTAATGTATCCACAGGACAACTTCACTCTCCTGGACAACACATACAATATAACACATCTTGAAAAGGTCATCGAGGAAGCCAAATACAAAGAGGGCTTCACTTTGAAGCTCTGCTCAACGATGATTATAGTTTCAACGGTTCTCACTTTGATTAAGACTTACACTCTGTTTGACTTTTGCAAAAGGGCGTCGATCAACGTTCACAAGGCAATCGTCAAACATATAGTTTACGCAGTGATGTCTTTCTTTGACACTCACTTCATAGGGAATATCCTGAATAGGTTTTCGCAGGATTTAAATAATATTGATGAGCAGTTGCCTTTCGTTTTCACCGAATGCTTCAGGGTACGTAATCACATCAAAAGAATTGTCATTAGTAAAATTAATATTGCATTAAGATTAACTAAATAGGCTAACTTTTTCCTGGCTATCTGAAGGTCTTTTGCAATGGACCTTGAAGTTAAATGGTCACATGCCGGTTAAGTACATTTTTCCAACTGAGAACCTATATGTTTTGTACCTGATATGAATAGCACAAAAACAGTCACGATCAAATATATCGTAGACAATTTGACCTTCAAAGCTGCAAGAGAATTGAAAAATAAAAACACAGGATTACTAGATTTGTTCATGGCTATAGTATGAGTGTGAGTTTCACCGTGACGTGACGTACAAGGTCATTTGAAGGTTATGTTTATTTTTAAAACGATATCCTTGAATGCCAAGGTCAAGACTATGAGTTAGCCAGTAACAAATCCAATAATCTACCTGTTTTGTTTTTAATTTTGTTTATCTTAATACCTTTTGAACAACTCTAGGTTTCTGCACTATTGCTTTTAATAGTAAAATGATGAAAAACCTGAAGGAACGTTATAAAAACATGTTTCACTCATGTACAATTCGAACCTGAAGTTTATTATTATTGCAGTGATTTTTTTATTTTATTTCAGGTTATGTTCTCAGTCACAGGAATCATATTCCTAATAGCCATTGTGAATATTAATTTCTTGTTGTATGCATTTATATTCTTCATAATTCTGTATATCTTGAGGAAATTGTATCTACCCACGGGAAGAAGTCTAAAGCGACTAGAAGCAGCAAGTAAGTTTCTTATAACCCTGTTGTTTTAGGTATTTAATTTGCGTTGTTCGAAATCTACTTCATATAAACGTACTATACCAGATTTTTCTATAGGGTCAAAACTAAGATTCCACGATTTTGAAGAGGCCCGACATTAAGCCTTGAGTACATAAACCAACCAATAAAGCAATAGATTGGTTACAACAAAATAGTAATGTGTGTTCCTAGAGGCATTCGAATTTTCAACGCAATAAAGCAAAGAAGAACTTCGACAAAATCACTTTTGACAGAAAAATATCTGCCAGTCGAGTTATCATATCGTAATTTGGAGACAATTTTGAACTGAATTCTTTAGCCGATTCTACTTCTCAGATATTGTCTATGCTGGAGTTTCAGCCTCCTACTTCTATAGGTACTAGGTACTCAACCGAAAAAAAAAAAATAATGAGTCGCCAAGCCAGATCGAGAAATTTTAGATTTTACCTCTATGATGGACACGTATTTGTCGTGTTGTATCACTGGGAGAGGCAAAAAAACAGAAATACTGTCGTCGGAGTTGAAAAAAGAGAGTACCCATAACCCACCATACGCTAATGCTAATGTGTATCTTTATGTACAATAGACCTATTCCCAGGCAGGCCAATAAATAGGGAAGTTTTGTATAAAGGAAATTCTACAATTTTTTTGGTGGTATCGTTGGATTATTGATTCCTAATGATCAGTTCAAATTAGCGTCATGTTCGGAAATCTCGAAAACAATCGATCTTATGTGAAAAAGTAATCGCAACAATTCTGTAGAGAATCCAACCCTGTATAATTTTGCTTCTGTAAAAGTTTGCCGAATAGTCACAGAACATGGGAAATTAAAAGATACATGTACATGTAATAATATTCCTGTTTATAATGGCTTAACTAAGAATCTAAAAGTGAAAAACAACCGTTTTTTGTATTACAATAAAATTAGGTACAAAAAAGCTCTAAACAGAAGACCAAATGAAACAATAAACAAGAGTATTTCGATGGCTCACTACTCATGGACACACGCCGCTGCTATACTCTTTATCTATATTGTTTTCATACCTGCCACATCCTCAGGTTTATTTTTCGTTTAACTATTTCCAGCGCGAAGTCCGATGATAGGTCACCTAAACGCCTCCTTAGAAGGGCTCACAACGATCAGAGCGTACAAAGCTCAAGACATATTAACAGATGAGTTCGACAGACATCAAGACTTATTCAGTTCTGCTCATTACACTGCTCTTTGCACCACGAGAGCTTTCGGATTCATCATGGATTTTCTTGTATCTGTGTTCATTGTGGCTGTTGTGGCCAAGTTTATTTTTTCAGACACAGGTAGGTACACGGATATTAGAATTTACAAAAGAATTTACTAAAATGGTTATTTTACTTTGCTATGACCTGCTATTTGGGCTTAAAATGATTTCCAGATACATGCTCGACCTCTCTAACTTGCACTAATCGACCTCAAAAACCTAAATTTTATATATCTCGACGTCATTTTTGACCTTTTTGAAACTGTGACCTTGATGTGACCCTTAAATGTCATCTGAGAGACAAAAGAACCTCGGATTCGACCTTAGCGACCTTGAAACGAAAATGGTGAACTGATCTGTTATTTGGGCTCAGGTGATCGAATTCTTTTGAATTTCGCTTGAAATAACTTTAAAATGATTTGCAGATGCATGCTAATAAATAAACTGACTTCTCTGGTCTGGACTAAAGGACCTAAAAAACTTAAATACTTAAAATGTTACGTGCCTCGACGCGATTTTTTTACCTTTTTGAACCTGTGACTTTGATGCGACCTTTAAATGTCCTTTGAGAGACAAGCGAACCTCGGATTCGACCTCAGCGGCTCCAAAAATAAAAACTGACAGGTGGGCAATTTTCGGCTCTTTAGGAACTTAACTTTCAAACAAAAATGAAATAGGTAACCTTGAAATGCCCTTGAAAAGAGAAAGTGAAATTGAATATGAGGGGAGAGGAAGTCTAGGTTTGTAGTAGGATCGATTAGGTATCAGATACACACTGATATCACTCTTTTAAATAAATATTTTGCTTTCGTACATTTTGGCAACTCATCAGCATGGTCTTGACTTAGTCTCTGAGACAAAGAACAAAAGCATAGCTTCTTCTAACCAAGGTATGAGGTCTATCGAAACAAGACAGCGCAAACCGCCATCTGTTATCAGAATCGACCACTGCGTCGGTTGGATGGAACTGTAAAGATTTTAGTTCGCGTTTGATGAGAGTCATAACTGTGACCGATCAAGGCTGACGATTCTGGCGGTATAGTAGATGTGGTCTGCTCACCATTGAACAATCAAATATGCTGCTTTCGTCCATCATTTTCGCAGTGGTCGATTCTGCTAATAGATTAGATTTATTTAGATAGATACCATTTTTTTTATCGGTTTTGTAGTTAACTATTTCTTTACAAAATCTTATGTTCCAGGTACTAGTGCAGGTAACGTTGGTCTAGCTTTGACGCAAGTGTTTATGTTGGCTGGTCATGTCCAGTGGGGCATAAGGCAATGGGCAGAATTAGAAAACTTGATGACGTCTGTTGAGAGAGTATTGGAATATACGGATATCAAAACGGAAACTACTGAAGGAAGAGAGGTAAGTGTTAAAGTAGTTTTTGTCTAGATGTGATACAAGGGATTACTTATGAAAGATGAGTGAATGGGATGTTAACAAAAACAACACAAAATCGTGACAGAGTGTAATCACCAAATGCGAATTAAAAGTCAAAATAGTAGCAGGGCGCTCTTAGGTATAAACCTAGGAGGCCAGGTCCAATGAAATTTTCAGTGAAATGCGTTTAAAATTCTGTATCTTGAAAAGTTTACCCATTGTTAGTACTCTTTTGATATTCAATTTTTAGCTTCAAGATCTCATTAAGCCTTGGTTTATTTCGTCTAATACTGGTATTATTAGCTTTTCTCAAAATACTTGACTGACTTAGAGGAAATTCTGTGAATATACGGTAGCCATTAAGGGACTTAATTTGTACTGCATATTTCCGTTTTACACTGGAAGGTTTATTATTCGGCGAATTTAATCAGTTGAAAATCCTCAAACTACTTGTTTACAATCAGGAGAAAATATACTCACTGAGGTTAAAAGTGTTACATCCAGAAAAAATCATGTCTTCAACCTGATTTTTTGACAATGAGGTAGACTTACATCAAGAATGGAATGATAGCATTCTCACGAAATTTTATTGATAAGTAATAAGAAAAAAAAATTATAATTTCTTGGGCGACCCCGCAGCTGAATACAGTCCTGTATACCATTACTCCAACAGTCCTGTGTACATGTCTCTCTAAAGCAAATCCAATATCACGCCGTTCTCCACGGCGACATCTCGATAGGCAATAATTCTACCCATGTAAAAGTCGCTAACATGGAGAGAATTGGGACGTGTTCGAAGTCAAGGCATTTTGTTAAGAGATAACATTTTAAGGAAGGTAAACAAAAACAAAGATACGTTGACATTGCTGACATAGATTGCTTTAAATATAGTCATTATGTTGCCAAAAAACAAGTTGAAGAAATTGTTTTTTCTGGGTGTAACACTTCTAATGTCACTTGAGTATATCTCTTCGTCTGAAGATCTCTAGACCTCACTGACAAAGGCACAAGTGGCGTGCTTAGTTAAGCCCCGAAATATCCTCTTAAAATTTGATAACGCCTCCCTTGGGAAAATTGACACGGATATAACCAATACACTTCAGAACTAAGGGATCAAAGTTCTAGGGGTTATTCAGTGTAATAGTAGAAAACATTTGAGTATAGGGACCCACATCCGCAAAAGTGTCACTACGGCACTACTGCCCTAAGACGCGTTAAAATTTCGAAAGACGATGAATTGCCTAAATAGGATTTAATGCATTTAATTTTTGCCTTTTGTACATGATATCACCACAACAATTGTTCAAAATGTCTTCCTCCAACCTGAATACACCGATTTAAACGTCGCACATGATTTCGGCGGACTTGACTAAAAATTTGAATGATTTCAATTGCTGCTGTAATTCGTCCAATTAAGTCTTGCTCTGTTTCTACAGGAGTTTCGTAAAACAAAAACTTTACATTTCCCCACAGGAAAAAATCTAGCGACGTTAAATCGGGTGACCTAGGAGGCCAAGAAACTGCTCCACCTCTGGCAATACAACGGAGTCCAAACTGCTGAGCTAAATACTCACGTACTTGTACAGCAAAGCGAGCCGGCGCTCCATCATGCTGAAACCACGTTTGCTGTCGAACGTTCAATGGAACATTATCAAGAAGTTCTGGAAGAACTTCTTCCAAGAAACGCCGGTAAATAGGTCATGTTAACCGTTCCGGTAGAAGGTATGGCCCAATCAAATAATCATCAACAATGTCTGCCCATTCGGTGACAGACCAACGTTGCTGATGTTTTCTAGGAAAAATTGCATGGGGCATTTTCTTTACCCCAAACGTGGCTATTCCTACTCTCCGTCTCTTGTGAAAGAGGCTTCATCGGTTCATAAAACATAGCGTACAAAACTTGGTTGTACAGCGATTTGATGTAGAAGCCATTGTCAAAATTGAACTCTAGGATGATAATCGGCTGCAGTCAATACTTGAACTTTCTGGAAGTGGTAAGTATAAACTTGTTGCTCGTGTAGCACCCACCAGACGGAAGCGTCACTCGTATTCATATCCTCAGCAATGTGACGTGTGCTACTTGATGGTTCGTCGGCAACTCGCTGAAGGACCTCTTTTTCAAATTCGAGCGTTCTTACGGTTCGAGCAACACCAGTATCATGCATGTTGAATAGAAATAAACTTTTTGTATCCCGGATGCTGTCGTTCGGGATAACGTTCTTGATACAACCGCGCTGCTGCTCGTGCAGTGCAGCTTGTTGCTCCGTATTCCAAATGCATATCCGCCAATTCTTGATTGGTTAAGTTTTCCATTAGCAACAATGAATTTTTGTTAGATTCTTGCAAACTTCACAAATACGATAGCACGACTAAGGCGATATGGAATGCAGCTACAAATAACAATCTCTGTTATCGGTTTTAAAGATAACAACACACAAGCGCCGGATATGGTTCTCTATACTCAAATGTTTTCTACTGTTACACTGAATAACCCCTACAAGTTTGATCCCATAGTTCTGAAACATCCTGTAGATTAAGGGGTTCCAAGATTTGTTTGTTTTCACGTCAGCGGTACACTACTATGAGTATTTTTATACTGGGTGTTCAATACGTACCACGACAAACTTAAGGAGAAGGTAGGCTTTGGACTGATCTCCCAAATAACAAAAAATTACCTATATAAAAGTGTCACGCTTCGTGAGATATTGAATTTTTTTTAAATATTAAAAAATGAAGCTTTTCATCTGTGGTCTTAAGCTGCATGTACAAATAAGGTTATACTTTGTTTATTTTTTCTATAAAATAAGTCTAGATAGTTGCTTTATTATATACAAATGCAATGTAGTTAAAAGATATTAAGGAATCATGATAAAATAAGGACTGTTTTGAGATTTATAACCTTCTGATATTGTTCCCTCAACTTTCATAAAATCATATCAATAATAATGTAGCTTTGTACTATTTAGCATGTAACTGACCGGTAACCAGTGCAACTTGAATTTAAATCCAATAATTACATTGTAGTGTGTGTCAGTCCCTTGACAAAAGTAGCTATCATTTTTTTCTATTCCAAATAGTACGTGTGGTGCCTTTCTGTATTCAATGCGCAATCTTTTTATTAAATATAACGCAGTTATAGCCCAGTACATTTTTGTTTCACCACAGATGGTCAAAGTTGAGGAAAAGATATCAGAAGATTATAAATTCCAAAATAGTACTTATTCGATCATGGTTCCTTAATATCTTTTAACTACATTGAATTTGTACTCGTATATGATAAAGCAACTATCTAGAAGTATTTTATAGAAAAAATGAACAAATTATAACCTTATTTGTACATGCAGCTAAAGACGACAGATGAGAAGGTTCGTTTTTTTTAATTTAAGAAAAAATTCAGTATTTCAAAAACGGTGGCACTTTTATATATGTAAGTTTTTGTTAGTCCAAAGCCTACCTTCTCCTTGAGTTTGTCGTGGTACTTATTGGACGTATACGAATCGGTATTTGTGGAGTCACTTTTGTTTATGAGAAAATATTCGAGGTTATGACAAATTGCTATGGTTGCTGGTTTGGAATATTTCATCCAAGTAGGGATGACATCGGAAAGTTCTAAGGCAAAGCAAACTAATATTACAGATTACAGTAAGGGGTTATCATACACGCCTAAGCGTCACTGCGACACATGTGGACTCACTGAGGCCCCATATACATCGTCTAAGGCCCGTATCGTCAGTCGTCCCTACAATTGTAGGGCGCGTTTATGGCCTCCTTGATTGTCATACTCCTTTCTCTCCTTCAAAAATTTTTAGATTACACTTGTCCCGTGTCAGCGTCAGCGCTCTCCTATTGTGAAGATATGTTTTCTTTTTAAATTGTAGGAAATTTCGGGCTGATAAAACATGATATAACTCAAAAGCAAGCACAATTTGATGCAAATAGATGTTCGTGACATAACGTCAAAATAGAGTTCTGACACGGAGAAGTAGAAAACTATGACAATCAAGGAGGCCATAAAGGCGCCCTACAATTGTAGGGACGATTTACGATACGGGCCTAAATCACTGTGTCCAGCTTCGATCCTTTAACCAGTTATTCGTAATATCTAAAACCTTGGCCGTGCCAGGCCTCCACAGTGACACTGGCACTGGAGTTTCCAGATGCTCTTTGGAGAATTGGCATGTGGCCTTATATGTCAATGTAGGCGACATAGTTCTATTAGAAGATCGACTATCACCCTCACGATATTTCTATCAAGTCCGAGCAGGTCCTCTGAATTCTTTGAAGAGCTCGCATTCCTTTGCCCTAGTTGGTCGTTCTTGGACCTCCTTTTAGTGCAACCTTTTGAAGACCGCTTGATGCGTGTATCCTTCACGCCACAAAAAAGCTTTGGACCTACAAGACGATTTGCCGCAAATTTTTGGGCCAGCTCATCCGCTTCCTCATTTCTTTTGTGCCCTTCGTGTTTTGGTACCAGAGCGATGTTGCTACCATTACTGCGGGAAAGCTTAAGCAGCATTCTTTTCAAATAAATTGTTTTGTTGTTGCAGGAGGACAACTGGCCAAGTAAAGGCAAAGTAGTCTTCGACAATGTCTCTCTAACCTACGGAAACAACGAACTGGTACTGAAGCACCTCAATTTCAAAGTGGAGCCCAAACAGAAGATCGGTATCGTGGGCAGGACAGGAGCTGGTAAATCTTCGATTATTGCTACGTTATTTAGACTCTACGATGTAGATGGACGAATCGTTATCGATGGAGTCGATATAAAGACACTTTCTTTGAAGTTTTTGAGAAAAAGGCTTGCTATCATCCCTCAAGACCCAGTGCTATTCACTGGAACAATCAGGACCAACCTGGATCCCATCGGAGAGTTCACCGACCAAGATCTGTGGAACGCTTTGGAGAAAGTTAGCCTGAAGGAATCTATCACAAGTCTAGAAACAAAAATCACTAGTCACGGTTCTACTTACAGTTCAGGCCAAAAGCAGCTGATCTGTTTGGCCCGAGCAATTTTGAGGAAAACCAAACTGGTGGTGCTGGATGAAGCTACTGCAAATATGGATCATGAAACGGATGCGTTGCTTCATAATACCATAAAAGAGAACTTCGCTGATTGTACAGTATTTACGATCGCCCATAGACTTCATTCGATTTTAGAGTGTGACAAAGTGATGGTTTTAGATAAGGGAGAAATCAAAGAATTTGACGATCCGATGAGTTTATTGGAGAATAAAAATGGAATATTCCACAAGATGGTCAAGCAAGCTGGTCTACTTAACTATCTGAATTAAACTGTGTGGTTGTACATACAAATAATAATAAATTAATTTTACATACAAATGAGGTTTCTTTTCTAGTTTCATAATGGAGTAAAAATATTCTACAAATCGGACATATACTGAAGCAGTGGGTAGGTTCCTGAGCAATGCTCACGACGAATCTAGACATTATAGGAGGATTCCGCGACCAAGACCTGTGGAACGCTCCAAAAAAAAGTCACTCTGAAGGATACTGTCTCAAGTCTAGCTATAGAAATCACTAGTTACTAGATGTCATTTTATGCTGTCTTATTTCGATAGGTCTAAGGCCCGTATCGTCAGTCGTCCCTACAATTGTAGGGCGCGTTTATGGACTCCTTGATTGTCATACTCCTTTCTCTCCTTCAAAAATTTCTAGATTACACTTGTCCCGTGTCAGCGTCAGCGCTCTCCTATTGTGAAGATATGTTCTCTTTTTAAATTGTAGGAAATTTCAGGCTGATAAAACATGATATAACTCAAAAGCAAGCACAATTTGATGCAAATAGATGTTTGTGACATAACCTCAAAATAGAGCGCTGACACGAATAAGTAGAAAACTATGACAATCAAGGAGGCCATAAAGGCACCCTACAATTGTAGGGACGACTGACGATACGGGCCTTAGATACCTAGTATACAGGATACTTGGTATGTGTTGGTTCGCTGTCCACATGAGACAAAGGAACGGAGCAGCTGTGGTAGGACAGACGAAAACAATATGTCCAGCTGTGCAATGGCGAGTAGACCATATCTACTGTTTCGCCAGGTACTTCAGACTCTAGCAGTCACAGTAGTGACTAGGCTATCAAACGCAAACTGAGATCCTTACAGGCTAGCAGTGATCGATTATAGAATAAATAAATGAGAACAAAATAAGTACGTGGCATCTATAATTAACTGGTATAATAATATTAGGTTAGATTAGGGCATAAAAAGCTTCATTGTTTAATGCTAACCGAAAAAAAAAACATTCTGAGGGACCCCGAGACATATCGCAGTCCATTCCACACAAACAATGTCTTTGATGGCGAAAACGAACGTGAGACCGAAAAATTCACATTATCGTATGGACGCTAGACGAGACAAAGTATGATATCTATAGACCACCAATAGATCGTGTCTTGAGGCGGTCTTCAGACTGTATATAGACAAGTTGCGCAACGGGGTCTCCTAGACTAGAGTGTTGTAAGCTCAAGGATTAAGACTCTGAACTGCCCATTGAACAAATCGAGTGATTG